GGTCCGGGCCTGGCCTTCTCCAGGAGGGGCTCCCCTCCTCCCGCCGGCACCACTGCAGAAGGGCCGTCCGCCTTGGCCAGGGGGTCCCTGCGGGCTTCGGGACGACCGCCTCGTCGCGCTCACCTGTGCGCCCAGTGGCCAGGTGCCTCCTGTGCCGGCGCGCCGGGGGACTGCGCTTGCCCAGACCTGCCACCGGAGGCGCTCTGCCGGCCTTCCCTGGCCAAGCGCACTTCCTCCGGTACAGGGGCACTGGCACTGGGCCGTCTCCGAGCGGCGGGCAAACGCCTTCCTCCCCTGGCATGGCTGGCCTTTCTACTGACACCAGCCATGCCGGATGCTGACGGGCAGACACCATCGCCACCAGCACTTTCTTTTATTCTGTATTATGAATTAGTAGGTTTTCTATTTCTGATGCTGTATCATCTAACTGCCAACCTAGCAGTTCAAAAGCAAGACATTGCAAGCAGATAAATAGGTACCTCTTCGGTGGGAAGGGAACAGCGTTCCATGCACCTCAGTGTTTAGTCATGCCAGCCACATGACCACAGAAACATCTTCGGACAGCGCTGGCTCTTCGGCTTGGAAACGGAGATGAGCACCGCAACCTGATTCGACTGACTTTCGAGCAAGGGACACCTTTACCTTTTTATCATCTAAGCACATGTGTTTCAATATATTTTTTTTACTGTAAGTCACCCTGAGCTTGCCTTCGGCGGGGAGGGCGGGATAAAAATTGAATAAATAAATAAAAATGCTGTCCCCGCAACAGGCACCTTGTGAGGTAAGCAGGGCTGAGACTGGCCCAAGGTTACCCAGCTAGCTGCATGGGAATCAAAGGAGGCAACCAAACCCAGCTCTCCCAGATCAGAGTCTGCCCCTCTTAATCACCACACCATGCTGGCTCTTCATTAGGAATGAAGGATATCGGGCGGGGGGGGGGGCGGATTTCAAAGAATACCAAGCATCACTAACATCTCTTATTACTTAATCCAGCTCTAACATTCAACATAGAATGGTTGAGTGCCTTGCAACCTCTTACACATACAAACCTCATGAAGATGAAGTAGTTGGCTGGATGCTCTTAAGGACTCTTGAAAGTCACAAATGGATGTATCTCTGATCGTAATTAATCTCACTCGCGACCCACATAGCCACACATCTGAGTAATCAGATAAAAGGACCCTGCACCTCTCAGAACCATAGAAGCAACACAATCAAATCCACACGCCAAGAAACGTCTGAACATTTGCGTTTTATTCTAGAAGTTAAAAAAGGAACAAAGACTTGCTCAAGATAAGGTTCCCATTGTTCAATGCCACCCTGTGGCTGGCTATCAGGAAACAGTGGTCAGACCACTGAACATAAAGAGCATAATAATGATGGGGTAGAATTATGACAATGAATCTCCAAAGCCAGCCTCCAAGAAGACTTTTGTCAGGGGGAAACCCTCCCAGGGCCACAGGAGATGAACCCATCAGTTCCATCTGGGAGACTCCCAGAACAATGGCATACCCAGGAGCACTGATGCCCAGGCAAGATCAGGCCACGTATTGTATCTGTTCTAAGGTTGAAGAACAGCATTAGGAAAGTTGTCTCATTTCCCTAAGTACCAAATGTTTCTTCATACTGTATTTTAGAAAGGAGGACTAAATAAAAGAGCCACGACCGTGCATCTTGCCCATCTTGGCCAAAACCACCCCCAAAATATAACATATTCAGACACAGAGGATCACAAACTCCACATCCTATATCACTTCCTTTACTAGGAGTGGATCTAAACGTCTTCCAAGAAGACACAAACAAATGTGTCCATTTAAGAATATTTAAACAAGAATTTGGGGGGGGGGGGGGAGAATGTACAACTGTGATCAAAACTCTGATGCTTGTAAAGTACTGTGCACATGAACGAAGCGGGCTAGAGGGGCCATTACACAAAGGAGTAAGACGGCTTCAGGTACTGCCTGCTCTGCGGTTTGGGCGGCGCCATAATCCCAGGCCTCTTGCTGAGCCCTCCGGTCGTGACGGGAACTTTGGAGCTGGCCGATGTGTACGTTTTGTAATTCCTAGGAAGTCAAAGGAAAATGTGACATCTGTCAGCGGCCTCGGCATGCACTGATACGGCATCCTGCGGTTTAAGCGGCTTCAGCATCACAATCTCCTTTGTGCACCATTTTTCCTCAGAGCAGCGTGGCCTAAAGACGTTCAAGGCGCTTCAGGGCAAGAAGGGATCCGAATTCTGGCCCCCCCAGCTTGGCACTCACCGTTACAGTGCACTTCTGCCCCGTCCTGGGCCAGGTTCTTCATCGGTTAATCTTCTGGGGGCAGACAGGAGCTGCCCTTGGCCTTACTGCTTCGCCATGGATGACAAGAACGTCATCATTTTAACTGCCGTTTAAGGTTGTATGCGGCCTTTAACAAGGCCTGTTGAACTCAAAACCAGTGGGCTGGATCCAAAGGTCTACGGAGGGGGGGGGGGTTTCACATGGCGTTCGTGTTCCCCTCATCCCTTCACTGAGCGGTAGGAAGATCAGAGCCTTCCACCTGAAGACTTGGACTGCTGTCACTCGCCCTGGAAGTTCTGACAGGCTCTGGGCCTAGAGTGGAACTTAAGGTACCCCCCCCCAAAAAAAAGCAAAGCTGCAGAGAAGGCTACTCTTCCTCTCCATGGCTCGGCAGAGCCTTTTCCTGGCCTTTGGCTTCCACGCCAAGCTGACCAGGGGCCTGCCCAAGCACAGAGTTTCTTCACGCCCCAGAGGCGGGCCTGGGGGCCGCCGGGCCGCCCTGACGGAGCAACAGCGAAGCGGGCCGCTTCTGCACAGCGAGCCCCCTGGAGGCCCAGAGGTTGTGCCGCCTCTCCAGAGAACGGCTCGTGGCCCATTCGTTTCTTTATTTCGCTCCTGTCCCACAAATGGGCTCAGGGCGGCTCACAACACATAAAGGACAAAAGCAACAGACATATAATCGAAGCCCGATTTAAAACAGACAGAACAAGATGGCAACTGAAACAAAGACGACAACTCCGGAGCAGTCCATCGTGCCTCCCTGCAGGAGGTTAAGGTCCTGTGAGCGGGGGAGGCCGAGACGGCTGGACATCCGCTGCCACGGCCAGAGGCCTGGCCGGACAGCTCCCTTTTACAGGCCCTGTTGAACGCTAATGAGCCTCGCAGGTCCCAGGTGCGTGTTCCACCAGGCCAGGACCAGGGAGAAAAGGCCCTGGCCCTGGCCGAGGCTAAGCGGACGTCTTCTGGGCCAGGGACTACCAGTCGATTTTTATCTGCACAGCGCAAGGCTCTCGGGGGCACTCTGCCACCACGCAGGAAAACCAGAACAAAAAAGACTCGCCTGTTTCGAACAAATGCCTTCGCTGCCATTCTCTTAGCCTGTTTTCTACACCCGACTGTAAGGGAGAGATTTGCTTAACCTTGCGCTTGCTGGGCGACCAGCATTCCCCTTCTCCTCCCCCTCACCTTCCCGGTCCTGGCGAGTCTGGAACCGCTCTGACCCAAACTACTTGGCACTCCTGCGCCCCTCCCCTCCCCTCCCCTGGCACCAGAGTTCCGCCAGCAAAGGCTTTTCTAAGCTCATTCAGAATCAAAGTGATTGCATGGCTGGTTCCGTGCCAGGGCTTCCTCGCACAGTTTCCTACAGGGAAATGGAAGTAATTAAAATGCGGTTAATTAGCACTGCGGCGGGGCCTTATTCCTACCCGTAGCAAACAGACCTGCCACACAAACGTTGTGCCGAACCAGAGAGAGGTACCTTTTCGGGTGAGCCTGCTGGCCTCTGGAGCTCGTTTTCTTCTTCTTGGCTTCTCTGAAGAATTGTGGCTTTTTCCTCTTCCTTCCCTTGCTGGCCCCGTTGCGGAAATAGCCGGAGGTTGTGCACGCCGCTCCCTCGTCAGTACTGTAATGGCTCTCAACCTCCATGCCCGGGGCTGGCTCTTCCGGTCCTGTGGAGGAGGAGACCCACGCCCTCTAACATCGCATGCCACAGCCCACCATGGAGGGGATCACGGTGTTCCCTCTAAGCTGAGCGAGTGTGAGCTCGCTCACCGTTTTTTAGCCTCCGGCTCACACGTTTTTGCCTTCGCTCTGGAAGGATGGGGCTGCAGGGCAAACTAATTTATGCAGCGGCCAAATGGCTGGCTCACAACCTTAATGCCAGTCGCTCACAAAGTAGAATTTTTGCTCACAACACTCCACAGCTTAGAGGGAGCCTCGGTCGCCACCTCTTCTGCCCCCTGCTGCCCTGGGACGGTGGCGAGCCAGCAGCTCAAGCTGTACGGCTCCCCCCAACCCAGAGAGGAAGCCACACGGGCAGCTGTGTGCACAAAACGGCTCCTTTCATACAAACAGCCGCTCAGACGATTCCTGGTTTCAGGATCAAGTGACATCTGAGCAGAATTTTACTTTGAGTCTCAGTTTAGAGCGTTCAACACTCTGTGGCTGGACAAGCCAGAAGTGTTTCCCTAACCACGTGAGCACAGGAGAGGTCTCAAACGCTGGAACTGACGAGACGATACCTGGCAGTGTCCACTCAATGTATTTCTGCATCACTTCAATTATTTCCGCTCCGTACTTTTCGAGTTTGTCCTCCGTGACACCATCGATCTGCAGCAGGACTGCTGGGTCCGAAGACAACGTCTCTGCAAACAGGGAGGGAAAGGCCTTCACAAGGGATCGGCGTTATCAACTTCAGATGCACTCAAAGATCTTCACCTTCTTGTCTTCCTCCTACCACACTATCACGCAAGTCTCTCCCCCTCTCTGGTTTTAGGCAGGCAGCGTTTTATGGCTTACATAAGAACATAAGAGGAGCCAATGTCCCATCCAGTCCAACACTCTGTGTCACACAGGGGCCAAAATACCAGGTGCCCTCAGTAGATCTAGCAGCAGGGTCAGGACACTAGTAGCCCCCCCCCTGGCCCCCCCCCCCCCACAGCACCAAGCACCTTGCCCCAGACTGAGAGTTCCTATAAGAACATAAGAGAAGCCAATGGTGGATCAGGCCAATGGCCCATCCAGTCCAACACTCTGTATCACACGGCGGCCAGAAATATTAGGTGGCATCAAGAAGTCCAGCAGCGGGGCCAGGACACTAGAAGCCCTCCCACTGTTGCTGTAAACCCTCAGGAGGTCTCCTGTTCTGCTCTCAAGAGCTTTGCTAGGAAATTCCCAGATGACAGAAACAAAAACAAGTTATGCCACTGGCTAGCTTCTCCGAGAAGGCCGACCGTCCAAGAGTCAGGCAAACGTCTATATGACAGAAAGAACACGAGAGTCTACAGCAAGCAAGCATGCTCAGCTACAGGCCCTACCACCTGCTTCTGCAAAACCAACATACAGCCCCTACCAAGTTCTCAGTTCTACGGCATGTCCTACCCTGTACCATGAAAATTTGTGTGGCAGGTTTCTCACAGGAGGACCCAGAGTTTGTGTCCTACACCAGGCAAGAGGACTGAAGTCATTTCCGCTGGTGGCAGAAGAGGAGGCAGAGGTGGAGATTGGGTTTATGCCCCATGGCCCTTCACTACCCGAAGGAGCCTCAGAGCAGCTTACAAACTCCTTTCCCTTCCCCTCCCCACAACAGACACCCTGTGAGGTAGGGTCAGCTATGCTGCCACTGTATGTGATGGGGGGAAGGAGGCCACTGGGTGAGCGTCTTCATCTTCTGGAATGTTAGCTTTCACTTCTTCTGCTGTGTCTTATCTGTTAGCCTGACCTTGGTACTTCTCGGGCTTCACCCTGCCTGGGAACCGGCCCCGTTATTTTCGGTGCGGAAATGTTCTTATTTAGAGAAGAAGAGAAGAGAAGAGAAGAGATTGGATTTATACCCCGCTCTTCACTTGGAGTCTCAGAGCGGCTTACAAACTCCTTTCCCTTCCCCTCCCCACAACAGACACCCTGTGAGGTGGGTGGGGCTGAGAGAACTCTGACACAAACTGCCCTTTTTCAAGGACAGCTGTGCCAGAGCTTGTGACTGACCCAAGGTCACATCAGCAGGTGCAAGTGGAGGAGTGGGGAATCAAACCCGGTTCTCCCAGATTAGAGTCCGCGCACTTAACCACTACACCAAACTGGCTCTTTAGCCACAAGGTATAGATAGGGGGCTCTGGGGCAAGTGATGCTCTGTCTTCTTGGTGTTGGGGGGGGGGGCAACAGTGGGAGGGCTTCTAGTGTCCTGGCCCCACTGGTGGACCTCCTGATGGCACCTGGTATTTCTGGCCACTGTGTGACACAGAGTGTTGGACTGGATGGGCCATTGGCCTGATCCAACACTGGCTTCTCTTATGTTCTTATGTCTGGGGCAAGTGATGCTCTGTCATCTTGGTGCTTGGGGGGGTCAACAGTGGGAGGGCTTCTAATGTCTTGGCCCCACTGGTGGACCTCCTGATGGCACCTGGTATTTCTGGCCACTGTGGGATACAGAGTGTTGGACTGGATGGGCCTTTGGCCTGATCCAACATTGGCGTCTCTTATGTTCTTAAGGCTTGCACCTCTCGGCTCCATCCGGGGGTCCCACTTTGAACGCAGTATATCTTCCCCTCTCCCACCAGGAGAGTTAGTTCTAACAAAGAATGTATGCACAGATAACCTGACTTTACTGTCTTCAATAAACTTGATCCTTCTGAAGGAACGTTGTTGAGACTGATTGCTGTGGGACCCTGACAGGTAGGTGGGGCTGAGATAGCTCTCCCCAGAACTGCTCTTGAGAGAACAGCTCTGGGAGAACTTGTGAAGTCAAGTTCAACAGAGCTACCTGCAAAGCAGCTATGGACATCAACATCTGTAATTCTCAACATGCCAGCACCCCACCCCACCCCACCCCCATCTGTGGATACTTAAATCCACGGCCTGGGGCCATGTTTAGAGGAAAAAATGTATCTCTACAAACTTGGGGGGGGGAGAGAACCCAGGCTTGCAGAAAAATCTTGGGGGGTGAGATGCCCCCCAGAAGAGGAGCACTGCCTGGATGCAACACACTTCTGTCAGCCTGCCGTTATCTGCCAACAGGTGAGTGGGGGAGGGTGAAAGAAAGTGGGGACCCCGGCCACTTCCTGCTG